TGGGGAATTCTGGGAGTTGAAGTCCACACATTTTAAAGTTGCTAAGGTTGAGAAACACTGCCTTAATGGATGGACTAATGCCTGGCTTGTGATAAGTGTGGAATGTCCGCCATGTTTGTCTACCTTTCCCAGACTTAGAGAAATTCATGACATCTACTCACTTAGTTAGAATTGCTTGAAGGCTGAAGTGAAGGTGTTCAGAGCAGGTGAATCAAGGCAGGTGGCTACAAGGAAAAGGTCTTTTTGGGGGTGAGCCCCTGCTTTTCCCTGGGAGGCATGGTTGGCCTCCATAATGACATCTTTGTGGTGACTGGTGAAGCCGTTTCCCCTTCTTTCAAGCATTTATATAATTGATTTTAAATTTAAGTCATTGTGTTAGCTTTTATACTCTTTATTCACATCTCTGATCTGTGTTTTACTTATTCTTTTAATTGCTGTATGGACTTGTTGTTGTGATTATTTGGAAGAATGTTGTAATCTGCCCAGAGAGCTCAGGTTTGAAGTGATTCAAAATAATTCTAGGTGGTGAACTTCTGTTCCTAGAATTCTTAGAAATGGCCATGGTGGCTGGGGAATTCTGGGAGTTAAAATCCACACATCTTAAAGTTGCCCAGGTTGGGAAACACTGCCTTAGAGACTGCAAGGAGTATCAAGGTTGGGCGAGTGAGCATGTATAGTAAATGTGCGTGCAAGGATTGACAATACAAGTTCTGGGTTGGGGGTACCATGGCTCCCAATATCTGCTGCAGGGGATAGAGGCAGGAGAAAAGTATTGGCCTCGACCTTCCTGGCATTTGGGAGGGCCTTGAAGACATGCCTCTGCCACTGTGCCTGGGCATCCAGCAATGGTGGGGAGCTCTTACAATGGCTGCATTGAGCTCCTGTAGAATGACTTCTGCTCCTGATTGGGGTTTTTCTGTTTTTTAAACTGATTATAGACAGTTTTTATATGTTTGTATATTGGTTCTTTACTTGTTTTTATTGGATTGTTTTTACCTCTTTTGAGCCACCCAGAGTCACTTAGATAAGATGGATGGCCATACAAATCAAAT